ACACACACACACACACACACACACACACACACACACACACACACACACACACAATAAACTCAGACCCGTGGGAGAAGGAGAGAAAGGAGCTGCTTCTGGGGCAGGTGGTCTGACTATTGAGAACACAGGCTGATACCATAACTGCAATTTCTGCAGCTCGTTGGGACTGTCCTGTTGCATCTGACTTGAATTTTGTTTCGTTTGACATGAGAATTCCTGGGTAACTTTTAATTCCAATGCCTCACTGCACCCCCAGAGCCTCCGATGCAATTTCTCTGGGTCAGGACCCACAACCGTCTACTTGTGCAGCCCCGGGCCTTAGAGTTCAGCCTCACACCCGGCCCTCTGGAGAAGCCGGTTCTAAATTTGGCACAGGAAGTCCCAAATTTCCAGCTTCCCTCCTTGGAAATTTCATTCTTTCATCAGCCTGAGAGTCACGCTGGCCGGGTTCAATCCTCCGCTCTCCCAGGTGCCCGTGACTTTGGGCCTCACTTGACCTCTGCAAGCCCCAGTCTTCAATCTGGGGAATGATGATCCGGATCGCGCGGCTGGAGAGAGGGGAGTAAGTCAGCAGGCCTGTGTGAGAGGTGTCAGGTCCAGTCGGCCGCTTCCGGAATAAATCGACGGAGAAGTGCCCGGGCTCGGCCTCCCAACGCAGCGGCGGCGGAACCTGGGCAGGTTGCCCGCCCTGCGGGGCATCTCTAACCCCAGGAGTGTTCCCACGGCACCCGGGGAGTCCCGCGCCGCCTCCAGGGGACGTCCCCTCTGCTCCGGAGGCCGAGTCAAGGATGCCCCGCAGCTCAGTGAAACGCTAGGGGCTGACTCCGAGGAGGGCCAGCGCCCCACACCGCCGCGGGCAGGGGGGCATTAAATTGGCTTCTTAAGCTGCCCCTCACACCCTCAAAGCGAGGAGGAACTGGGTAGGGGCGCAGAGCAAAACAGGGCGTGGGTAAAAAGAGAGCCGAGACGCTCGGTTGAGGCACCGCTGGGATTCGAACCCAGGATCTCCTGTTTACTAGACAGGCGCTTTAACCAACTAAGCCACGGCGCCGCCCGCACAACTACCGCGACAGTCCGTTCCCCATCACCATTTACTGTATAGGCTGCGTGCACGCGCACAAGTTTTGTCGGCGGCTGACGCATGCGCTCTGTAAGGTCCTCGTCGCAGGCGGCTTAGACCGAAGAGTTGTACTCGGAAGCCGGAAGCTCGGGCAGTGAGCAGTGGGCGGGACCGGGCCGGCTAGTCTTCCCAGTGTTGCAGTGTCAGACCCCAGGGTGGCCCATCTTTGGGGAATGCTCGCGAAAGATCTGGTCTTCGGCCCTCCAGAACTGACGCAAGCTGTCCGGCGAGGCCGAGCCCCGGCCCGATCCGGAGATCCAGGGCCCGCTAGCGCGGCCGGGCTGCCGGCTCCCCAGCGTTGGATCAGGGCTCAACCCGGCCGTGGTCCCGCAGTGACCACGTGTCGGACCCATCACACTGGCGCCCTCAGCCTGGGAGGCCGGTTGCCCTCCTCGGCCGCACGCTGACCACCGGGGTCTCCGGCGCCGTCAGCTCTGGGGGCCCATCCGCCCGCCGGTGGAAACCAGACCCATAGCTTCAGTTGGGCCTCTTCCGCGGACCCTGAGCACGGGGAGAGTCCGGGGGCACTGAAGAGACCCTGAGCAGGCACTGAACGATCAAGAGCTTAAAGGGGCCCAGTCCGCTGGCCTTAGAGCATCAACACCGTACGTGGAAGGTTTCCGCTGCCAGAGGAAGGCAAAGCCCTCCGCACTCAGGCGTCTCACTTGCCCCTCTGGGGCTCCTCACTCAGGCACATCAACCACTTCATCACAACACTTTTTAGAGTGCCTTTGAGCAGCAACAAAACCAAAACCTGCTAATCCATTGACCCAGCGGTTTCTCCAGTGGGAGAGCCTAATCCACAGAAATGTAGGACTCTGCAAAAGTATGTACACAAGAAGGTTCACTCCAGCATTGTTTGTAAGAGCTAAAGACAAGAAGCAACCTAACTGCCCGTCCCTGGGGACAGTGGATGCAGGCCAGACATCCTCCACAGCACTGAGGAAGAATACATTTATGTATGTCTTCATGTGCCAGAGAAGGGATAAGACTTCTCTTCCAAAAAGAGCCCAATTGCTGGGAGGCTGACGCAGTGGAGTTTTGCCATGTTCATGCATCATTCATGTAAATTAATGCATAAATACTGAACAGCCTGCTGAAGCTGGGCAGTCATCCTGGTTGTGACGAAGGAGGGTAGCACCAAGCACAGGACCTGCCCAAGCAATGACTACCAGGTTATGGTGCTCATGGGCAGAATTATGGGATGCCAATCAATGAACATTAAATAAATCAGTCCTGCAACTAAGTTTTTTTAAAAAGGACTAAGGGGCATACTAATGATATCTGACGGAAATCCTGTAAGCCATACCAGATGGAAAAGGGAGCCCTTCACGTTTAACTGATACCTTGCTCTTTGTGAAGTAATTGATTACATTGTATGCGTGGAAGCAGGAAGGAGGCTGTACACATGCGTGGGCATCCTGGAAAGTAAAGAAACTGGGGTGGAGAGCAAGAAGTATTCTGTGATGGAAATGCCCACCACCCACTTGCCTAACCAGACCTTCCTCTGCTCTGAGCAGTGACCATCCGGGAGCCTTAGCCAGGGAGGCACCCACAGTGCCACGGTACAGTCCACTCCACAGATGGAGCTACACAGCTTCCTCTTCATTCAACAATGAAGAGGCTGCGGCTGCTCTACAGGGCAAATCCAGAGACCAGAATGTGTTCCAAAAATGAGACAGGATGGACACCAGGACATAGAATTTAGAAAGAACAAAAATGTTTCTAGAATTCACATGCACACTTGTTTTCCAACAGAATCTATATTTATTCTGCGTATAAACTAAAGACAGAGGGATCCCCAAGGGGCTGTGGAACTGAGGAGGCGGCACAGTGGTGGGAGCCCAGCCAGAGCGTGGCCCCTGCCCCAGCCTGACAGGCCCACCCGCTGGGGAGGGGCCCCAGAGAAAGGCCTGTGCAGAGCCCCGAAACCTATATGACAGATGGCCTGTGCTTGAGTCACCCAAAGGCTCCAGTGGCCATCAGCCATCCTCACCCAGGCTGCACTCCCTTGACAGTGAGACCTCCCCCTCTGATGATGGTGAGGCCTCTGTTGACAAGTCTTTTGCATCGAACCGGCAGAACACACATTTGGTGACTGTTTCAGAAAAGATGTCACTTTCGTAGATGGAGAAAGGCCTGTCACATTCTTCACACTGACATGAAATATTTTAAAAGAGTAGAAAGGAGGTGCTGATCAGAGGAGATCAAGGCATGCAGTTAGAATTCTCCCCCCGATCCAACTGCCTTGGGCCGGGCCAAGGCAAGAGCTGCCTCCCCTCTCTGGGGCTCTAAGTGCACAAGGATAGAAACTGCAGGCCACTGAGAGGGAGTAAGCACAGGCTTCCTGCTCTTTTCCCTCTCAAAAGCTATGCAGGTCCTTCCAGCTCATGTCCCCTGCTGTGGGGTCCCAGGGTGGCCGGGAGGAGTGGAAAGCCACTTGATGGTGCTGAGGATTTGGGGTGGGTGTCTAACCTCACCCTCTGTTCTGTGCAGAGCAAAAGTACAGGGCCGAGGGGCTATCCTAACTCCCTGACATCCTGGGGATACCTAATTTTTGAGAATCAAGTAGGCAAGACTTCTGAACAAAGCAGGAGCTTTTTCTAGATGATGAAGGTGCTGAGTCTTTGAGCCGAAGCACCCAGAGGACAGTGGATACAGTGGCACAGCTCACTTGCAACATTTTCCCACCAAAAAGTGAGCAACACTTGTGGGCTCTCAGGCCACGGGCAGAGGTCTCTCGGGGCTCCCACCAAAGCATGGTCCCCCTGAGACGAGCCGGCAGGCGGCAAGCCCCTGCCCTGGCTCTCCAAGCCCCTGTGCTTTGCCACTCTTGCCCGCTCCAGGGCACCAAAGCCTGCAGGAGAGATGGGGCCAACCCCGCCCAGGGCAGGTCTTCTGGGAAGTGCGGCCTCTGAAGTTTCTCGTATTGAATCAGAGCAAGTCAAATGCAGCGAGCTCGTCTTTGCTACAACTTCGGGTAGGTTTCTTTCTTTTATTTCTTTTGCAAGAAAGAAATTCAATCCCTTACCTGCCTTATTCTACAGCATCATTTCCCACGACCCAAGCCCAGAACAGCAGGGCTCAGAGGAAGCAGCTCCTGGGTCCCTCCCCAGGTGGCAGGTGGAGGACAAAAGCACTGCTCTGTACCCAGTCAGCTTCCAGGGCCTACGGGCCGACATGGCCACAAAGACCATGAGGACCAGCTGGCCACAAAGATGGGGTTCCACCTGGGTCCCTCCCCTTACCTCCGTGCCCCCCGGTGCCATTCTCCAATTAGCCATCCCCAGAAGCAGTGGCTCCCAGCCAGGCCTTCTGAGTGGAGACAGGCCTAGGGAGCTCCAGGATTCACGAGGGCCCAGCAGGGACTCCTCAGCCTCTTGAGGTGGCAGCCAGGTGCCTGCAATGCGAGGCCCCAGCAGGGACTGGCCTCCACTGCCCAGGGCCAGCCCTGGCTATACCTGGTGAAGCAGAAGATGTACCCGCCATGATCATCCACTAGAGAATTGGGACCTGAGCCCCATCCATGGGCAACGGGGCACTGGGGACCTGGCCGGGGTTCTGCTGCAGGAGCGTAGGAGGCCCACACGGGGTCTAGCTGTGTGCCAGCCTCCCTCCAGGACTCCCTCCAGCCTCATCGCCTCCCACCCACCCTGCTCACTCCAGTCCTCAGCACGAGGCTCACTCCTGCCTCAGGGGCTCCACATGGGCTCTTCCCTTTGCTGGGATGTTCTTTCCCTAAAAGAGCTGCACAGCTCACTCCCTCACTACCTTCAAGTCTTTGAACAAATGTCACCTTCTCAATGAGACCCATCCTGACCACCCTTTAGAATGCTGCAACTGCCCGCACTCCCGCTTCCCTTTCCTATGTTATTTTCCTCCAAACTACTTATCATCATGTGACTTACTACATATTTTTCTAATTTCTTTATTCATTGTTTGTCTCCCCTTTTAGAAATGTAAGCTCCCTCAGGGCAAAAATGTCAATCTGTTTGTTCATAGTTTTATCCCCACTTGCCCAGTTTGTTCAAAGAATAAATTTGTAGAGAGAACTAATAAAAGCCTTCTTTTGACTTCATTTTACCCAATACCAACCTGTTTCAGCTTTAAGCCCCGGGCCTTTTTATACTCGATTACCAAAGGAATTCGGTCAATTTCTTCAATATTCCATAGTCTCATGGTCTTATCCTAAAACAAGTTAAACAGCAAACCAGCAGTTACAAAATGGGTTCGTTAGGCTTGGACGACCCAGGGAGGGGCATGGCATCCAGGTTACACGTGGACAACTTCGACCTGCAGAGGGACAGTTAGGGTGACCAACTGTCCCAGTTTCTCTAGCACCATCCTAGCCTTAGCACTGGAAGTCCCGCGTCCCCCAACCTGGAAGCAACCAAGATGTCCCTGAATAAGAGAATAAACACACTGTGGTACATTAATGTGACAGAATATTATTCAGTGATTAAAAAAAAAAGAAATGAACTGTTAAGCCACAAAAAGGACATGGAGGAGCCTTAAATACAAATTTCTAAGTGAAAGAAGCCAGTCTGAAAAGGCTACATACTGTATGATTCCAACTATATAACGTTATGGGAAAGGCAAAAATACGGAGACAGTAAAAAGGTCAGTGGTCGCCAGGGGCTCTGGGGAAGAAGGGGAGGGATGCAGCACAAGGAGTTTTTAGGACAGTGAAATTGTTCTGTATGATACTGTGATGGTGGATACATGACCTGCATTTGGCAAAACCCACACAACATAAAGAGTGAAACTTAAACCATGGACTGTCATTAATAATTATATATCAATATTAGTTCATCAATTGTGATGAATATACCACACAATGCAAGTGGCAACTGGAGGGTGAGATTATAGGTAACCCTCTGTATGATCTGCCTCTCACTGTTGTGGCCTCTCCCGCTGCGGAGCACAGGCTCCGGACGCACAGGCTCAGCGGCCATGGCTCACGGGCCCAGCCGCTCCGCGGCATGTGGGATCTTCCCGGACCGGGGCACGAACCCCTGTCCCCTGCATCGGCAGGCAGACTCTCAACCACTGCGCCACCAGGGAAGCCCTAAAATATTTTTTTTTCTTAACCATATTTGCTTAATTATCCTACTATCAGTTACTACTAATCACTGTTATTGATTAGTCCTGTTGTTGTTTTGTTTAAATAATAGCATTTATGTAACAGAAAAGTAAATAAGACATAATTTCAAATAAACACTCATTTTTGATACTTTGTCTTGTATTTTTACTTTTTTCCAGCTTTACTGAGATATAATTGACAATATTTTTTATGCTAAAGTAACAACACATTGGCATATAATTTTTATTATGTATTATAATATTATGGGGTTTTTTGGTCAGGTGTGATGGTATCCTGCATTGGCTCTCTAAGAAGTTGATCATGGCAGGCAGAGTCTTGCCCACATTTTTATACACCTAGAAACCCCCAGCCTAGAGAATAAGATGGCTCTAACAAAGGTTGGGGGACAAGGTGGGACCCCACTTCTTGGTGCTCACACATGAAGGACAGCCCTCAGGATATCCTGGGCTGTCTGTTATGTGCCATTGGCACGGGAATCCCAGGATGCAGTGACTAGTGAGGGACGACCCACCTGGAACCTTGGGGTTGTCTGCTTGCCCATGAGCTGACCCCTTTCCCTCCAAGGCCCCCTGTTGGCTCCATCACTTACCAGTCTGGACAGGCCCTTGCTCCAATGAAGTTCAAATGACAACTGTGCAAAGAAATACCTGGCAACTTCCCATATGAGCAAAGGACCCACTTTCCACGTTCCCGCTTCCTGGATGGGGTCGGCCTGGCCAGGTATAGCCTTCAGACTGAGCTGCTCGGTCCTTCAGACTGAGGAATTTTACTTGACAATGCACTCCTGCTAACACTAATTCTCACAAATGTGATAGAGATTTTAAGTCACTCAAAGGTTGGCCACTTTTACCTTCGAAGCAGACAGGATCCATTTCTTGTTGTTGCTGATGGCAACATCCATCACCCAGTCATTATGGCCCTGAAGAAAAGTAGAATTTTAAGAGGACCTAGAAAAAAAAACCTTTGAAAGAACAACAAAAACCAAAAAAACAGTCAAGAATCCAACGTTGCTTACTTTTATTTTTTTGGTATGCCGGCCTCTCACTGTTGTGGCCTCTCCCATTGCGGAGCACAGGCTCCGGCTCCGGACGCGCAGGCTCAGAGGCCATGGCTCACGGGCCCAGCCACTCCGCGGCCTGTGGGATCTTCCCGGGCCAGGGCACGAACCCGTGTTCCCTGCATCGGCAGGCGGACTCTCAACCACTGCGCCACCAGGGAAGCCCCGTTGCTTACTTTTAAGAGCAATTAATTGTGCTTCCCTGGTTTCACCCACGATATTTAAAGTGGAGTACAAAGTGTACAAGCTTGGGGTTCATGTATATATCACAGCACCATATGAGTTTTTAAAAATAGTACTCTGGTGCTTAGCACAATGGGAAAAAAAAATTGTATTCCCAGCTGGTCCCAGAGCACCTCTTGCAGGTTTTTGTTTGCATATTCTTTGTTCTAGGAAATACCACTTAGCGATCCTATTGGTGAGGGAGCTTTTGGCTTCAAGTAACTGCAAACCTACCCACTGTGGCTTAAATAAATGGGGGTTATTTTCCTGGGGTAAAAGGAATTTAGAGGAGATAAATACTTGCTGGTTCAAACACTTAATGATGTCAGAGCTCTGTGTCAGCATCTGTCTCATTCTTTGGCCTTCCCCTAATGCAAAGAGGTGAATGGTGAGGCGTGGTATGAGGGAAGGAAGCAGCAGCGAGGTTAAACTGCTGTGCATAACAAAAGGACAGGAATCGGAGGGTGGAAGAATAGAGAGAGGAGAGGAGAGGAGAAGGGAGGATAGAATGGCCTGATGGGAACACAAAGGGACTTTTAACCACAACATTCAGTTTTAAGCCATTCACGTGCTATGATGTAAACTCCCCTTGCCTCTCCAAACCCACAGAGAAGAGGGTCAGATAGAACAGCTTTGGGATACTGAATGTTATGGTGATCAAGGGGACACAGTCTACATTTGGGTCACAGGAAATAGAGAAACCAAGAGTCATCAATGCAAGCATTCACAGCCAAAGGCGGCCATGAGATCACAAGATCAAGGGGTATGCAGAAGTCTCGGGGTGGGGGCACCTGGAACAGAGGTACTGAAGTAGCCGATCCTGGGACTGCCTAACCGTTGGGTTCTCGTTGTGTTGCACAATCCGTCTCCTTACCATACAGCCACTTTAAGTTGACTCTCCTCTAACCTGCAGCCAAAAGTACTCACCCACCATTGACACCCACCATTCTGAAGCCCCACAGCTTTCTATGCATGCCTCATGATGGCATTCAACCTTTTGCACAGTCATTTCTGCTGTTCATAGACACTGACCCTCCTCAGGGTTTTTGCATTTGCTGCTCTCTCTTCCTGGAACGCCCTTCCCCAAGATCCTCACTCATCCCGTCTTTCTTTGCCATCCAGTTCTCAGCTCAAAGGCCACCTTCTCCAAGAGGCCCTCCCACTGTGGATTAGTCCCTGGAGTCTGTTTCTATCATATCACCCTGTTGTGGCTACTCTGTGTCGCTCATCACTATGGAGGATTTGTTTGTTGGTTCCTGGTCTGACCTTGCCCACAGAGGTGTCAGCTCCATTGCGAACATTTAGGTCTGTCTCACTGTTGTATCCCCGGCACCCAGCACCCAGCATGAATTGAAGAATGAAGCTCAGATCTTCTATCTGACGCTGGCATTGGTACCTTCAAGGAGAGCTTCCGGTAGCCTTCTCCTACATCCCAAATAGCCACAGTCTTGTCGAACCCTCCAGACACAAGCAAAGAGGCTGGAACACAAAACGAAAGAGTCTCAGGGGGTCACCTTCCTCAACCAACTGTTTCCTCCTCTGGGGAGGCCCAAGCAGGCCGCAGATGCATCTGTGACGTGCTACCATGGCTCACTCTGAGGACACCCAAACCCCTTCCGGGTGGGACTCAACAACCCCCAATCAATTACAGTTGACGCTCGATATTCATGGTAGTTGCGTTCTACAAAGTCATCACAAACACTCAATGGGTGATGATTGGTCTTAGGGGAAATGCAGGGTTAGGTTCCTGTGAGCCTCTGGTTACAACATTTTCATTAACCCATCAGTACATAACCTTGTTTTCTGTCTGTTTCTGTTTAACGACACCTTAGTTGATACATATTGCTTATTTATTAACATTGATTTCATGGCCAGCAGCATTATAACTCATGTCTGAATGAGGCGTATCTAACGTGTTTTCCCTGTAAGGCACATCACAGGCTTCTTGCCGTTAGGACACTAGACAGCACTTCAGCACTATGCTGGGGGGCCCCTTTAAACAGCAAAATCATCAACAAAGAGCACAAAATGCAAAAAAGTGGGACTAAATAGATCGCAGCAAGGACACCTTATAAGAGAACTGAAAGGAGAAGGCGGAGGGTCACCTTGTTCAGCCTCAGCTGGGACCGTGTGCACGTGGCAAGCTTCTTGCCGCTCTGCATGTATCTACGGGTGGCTGCAAAGGTGCCGTGAGTATCGATTTCAGGCTTACAGATAAATTTTACCCAGTAGGTAAATTCACAAACAGAATCCGCAAATAGTGATGACTGACTCACTATACGCAACTCTGAAACTTGTAATGCCAAGGACAGGAGCTGGTGGGGCACCTCACAGCGGGGTCTGACTTACACAGAGGCTGCTTCTGAAGAGGGAAACGTTTCTCAAGCCAGGCCCTGACGATGTGCATGTTGGCTGGGTACTCCCCTTGACACACAGAGCAAGCCCCGCTCCCCACGAGGACCGCGGAGTAGAGTCATAACATTTGGCTCCTGGGTGTCGGGAGCAGTCACAGCTCTCACTGGGGCCAGCTGCCCCTGGCTGCTTCCTGGCATTGCTCCTGGTCACATCCAGGCCCCTTGATCTGGAAACAGCTCTCCAATGTCCCATGCAGAAACACCCCTCACATATTCTCAGTGCCCCTGGTTCAGAGGGTACCGACTCTGACCTCCAGCTCTAAGGATGGGCAAGTCCCGCAGGCACGGCCAATCAGAGCCTTCCATCCCCTGCTAAAGGGGTTGGTTCAGAGATGGGCATGTATCCCCAGCTGAGCCAATGCGAGTCTTCCCTGGGACTTGTACGGGCACCACCAGAAAGAGGTTTTCTCTTTCTCTAGGATTGCCAGTGACCAGAACCTTTGTTGGCCTGGACCACCAGAGGCCATCTTTGCCTCCTTGAGGAGAAAGGTCAGTACAAGAGAGAAGCTGAGCTGAAGGATAGAGCGGAAGAGTTGGCTTCCTGAGAGCATTGTCTGTCTGGACACAGCCCTCCTGAAGGGTGACCAGCTCCTGGATGAAGTCAGAGAGTGGCATGGACATACATACACTACCAAATGTAAAACAGATAGCTAGTGGGAAGCAGCCACATAGCGCAGGGAGATCAGCTCAGTGCTTTGTGACCACCTAGAGGGGTGGGATAGGGAGGGTGGGAGGGAGACGCAAGAGGGAGGGGATATGGGGATATGGGGATATGTATAGCTGATTCACTTTGTTATACAGTAGAAACGAACACACCATTGTAAAGCAATTATACTCCAATAAAGATGTTAAAAAGAAAAAAAAACAATAAAAAAAATAGATTTGAAAAAAATGTTAACAGATTTATCTTGTTGCTTAAGCTATATCAAACTGAGTTTCCATCATTTGCAAACTTGTGCATATGAATCTCCCTCTTGGCTTTTCTGTTCTTGGGGAAAATAAATCCACCCTCACCACTGGCATCATTGGAAATCACCTCTTTATACTAAGGAAAGTCCACATGAATGGAACGTGAGGAACTCTACCCCAGCACTCCCACGGGTGTGGAATCCTTCAACATTTAATTACTCACTGTCTCTGGCAAAGTGGCAGGAGCTCACAGAACCTTCATGACCCTGCATCAGAGTCACACAGGCTCCACGGTTTCGAAACTCCCCTGTATGGACGTTCCATATTTTTAAGGTTTTATCCCAAGAGCTTGTACACAGGAAATGGCCACTGAAGGTAAAACAGCAGTTTGAGATTGCATTGGTGTGTGCTCTGAAACATATATGGAAGGGTGCACACATTAGTACATCACTCCTGGAGGATCCGAGGACACACTGAAGGGGAGGTGAGTGGAGGGGGCATTGGAGCTGATACCCTGTGACCCCATTCCTTTTTTTTTTTTGCGGTATGCGGGCCTCTCACTGTCGTGGCCTCTCCCGTTGCGGAGCACAGGCTCTGGACGCACAGGCTCAGCGGCCATGGCTCACGGGCCCAGTCGCTCCGCGGCCTGTGGGATCTTCCCGGACCGGGGCACGAACCCGTGTCCCCTGCATCGGCAGGCGGACTCTCAACCACTGCGCCACCAGGGAAGCCCCATTCTCAATTTTTAAATGTCTTATTTTTTTACAGAAAAGAATTGTCAGAATTTTGCTTTTCTTTGTTTTGTTATGATCTTCAAAGTATTTTCCCTGTGACTGTCATCTCCTGTTACAAAGAGAGTTTTCAAGCAAACTTATAAACATAATTGAGCATCTCTGAGTAGCCTGGATTATAATATCAATTCATCTAAATGAAGAAAAGGTTGAACAAAACTGTTTTCTAGAGCTCAAGTCAGAGTTTTAGACTCTTTTAGTTCTCGGAAGCTCACAAATTGAGTAGGATCAAAGGAGAAGAAATGTCGGCTTCCCAGGGGTGTCCAGGCTTAAAATGTCCAAATCCCAGTGCCTGGTGGGGCAAGAACCATCCCAGCATATACTGGAGGTGAATAACAAGCCCTCCTCTGAATCCAGAGACTGTCGCTGAGGTTTAAACCAAGGCTCTCTCTCTTTTCCAGGATGCGGCTCTCATTTCAGATAAACTCCACATAACATAAAAGACCGTTTTACTTAGTGCAAAAGTTTGGGGAAAACGTTCTGGACAAGATGGAGTCAATGTACTGCTCCCCTTTCCTCCTGTTAAGTACAGCTAACAGGGGCTTTCCTGGTGGCAAAGTGGTTAAGAATCCGCCTGCCAATGCAGGGCACACAGTTTCGAGCCCTGGTCCGGGAAGATCCCACATGCCTCAGAGCAACCCCGCAGAGCAACTCAGCCCGTGTGCCACAACTACTGAGCCCGCGTGCCACAACTACTGAGCCCGCGTGCCACAACTACTGAAGTCCGCGTGCCTAGAGCCCAGCTCGGCAACAAGAGAAGCCACCGCAATGAGAAGCCCATGCACTGCAACAAAGAGTAGCCCCCACTCTCTGCAACTAGAGAAAGGCCACATGCAGCAATGAAGACCCAATGCAGCCAAAAATAAATAAATAAAATAAATAAATTTATTTTAAAAAAAGACTACAGCTAACAGGCCTGGGCATTTATAAAGCAAACAGAAGACTGTAAAAGGTGGAGAAGAGAAGGCAGACCAGCTAAGGATCTTGGGACCCAAGGATGGCATGCTATTGAGTCCCTGTAGTTTTCTTTTTGTTTCTTATATCCTGGACTGGGTACCGGGAAAGCCTGCAACCCCCAAAACAATAAGGACTGGATAAAAAGCTCCCAAGAAAAGCCTGTTCTCCCTAGCCAAAGGGATAGCCTAGTAAGACAGAAAACCTTTACACAATGCCTGCCTTACTCCAGTGAAAAATCTTGGGAAAAACTGCAATCCCATCCCCACCCCTGTCAGCAAAGTCTTGAGTCTAGACTGCCACCCTTGCCAGGCTCTAAGGAGGTAGACTGCTAAAACAGAAGATTTAAGTAAGACTTAGAGTCTCGTAATGCAATACTCAAAATGCCCAGGATGCAACTGAAATTCACTCATCATACTAAGAGCCAGGAAAATCTCAACATGAATGGGAAACAGAGTCAACAGATGCCAATACTGAGATGACACAGATGTTAGAATTATCTGACAAGGATTTTTAAGCCGCCATCACAAAAATGCTTTGATGGACAATTATAATCGTGCTTGAAATAAACAAAAAGATTGAAAGCCTCAGCAAAGAAATAGAAGGTATAAGGAATGACCAAATGGAAATTTTAGAACTGAAAATACAATAACAAAAACACCAACAGCAACAAAAACCCTCAATGGAGAAGATAGAGGAAATAATCAGTAAATATGAAGACAGACAATATAAATTAACCAATCCAAAAAATAGACTGAAAAAAACAAGAGCCTTAGAAACCTGTGAGACTATAACAAAATATCTAACATTTGGGTAATCAGCATCTCAGAAGAAAAGGAGAAATAACATAGAGCTGAAAAACTAATCAAAGAAATTGTCTAGAATTTTACCAAATTTGGCAAAGGACAGATTCAAAAAGCAGAGTGAAGCCCAAGTAGGATAAACCCAAAGAAATCTATACACAGACACATTGTAATTAAACTTTTGAAAAGTAGAGAAAAAGAAAAAATTTTGAAAGCAATGAAAGAGAAATGACACCTTACTTATAGGGGAAAAACTATTTGAACACCAGTGGATTCTTCATCAGAAACCATGGCGGTCAGAAAAAAGTGATATGACAGTTTTCAAATGAGGAAAGAAAAGAACTGTCAGCACAGATTTCTATATCCAGCAAAAAAATATCCTTCAGGATTGAAGGAGGAATCAAGACATTTTCAGATGAAGGAAAACAAAGAGAATTTGTTGCCCTCAGACCTACCCTAAAAGAATAGCTAAAGGAAATTTTTCTAAACAGAAAGAAAATGGTGAAAGAAGGAAACTTGGAATATCAGAAATAGAACATGGTAAGCAGAAGTATGGGTAAATACAGTAGATTTTCCTTCTCCTCTTGAGTTTTCTAAATTATGTTTGACAACAGATGCAAAAAAATTATAACAAAGTACTTGTGTTTATTCCTTGCAAGCTTCAAAATCAGTTGAGATTATGAATTTTCAAACTTCTCTAGTAAGACCAGCTATATAATTTGCAGGGCCCAGTGCAAGAGTAAAAAGCAAGGTGCCAGTTTCTCAAAAAGCTTTACATAATATTAACACATGATCCAGAAATTCCTCTTCTAGATATATAGCCAAAAGAATTGAAAGCAGGGAATTGAACAGATATTTGTACACCAGTGTTCAATGAAGCATTATTCACAACAGCTAAAAGACAGAAGCAACTCGTGTTCCTCAACAGATAAATAGAGAAACAAAATGTAGTATACACATGCAATGGAATATTGTTCAGTCATAAAAAGGAATGAAATTTTAATACAGGCTATAACATATATAAACCTTAAAAACATTATGTTAGCCACCATCACCCTGATACCAAAAACAGACAAAGATGTCACAGAGAAAGAAAACTACAGGCCAATATCACTGATGAACATAGATGCAAAAATCCTCAACAAAATACTAGCAAACAGAATCCAACAGCACATTAAAAGGATCATACACCATGATCAAGTGGGGTTTATTCCAGGAATGCAAGGATTCTTCAATATACGCAAATCTATCAATGTGATAAACCATATTAACAAACTGAAGAATAAAAACCATATGATCATCTCAATAGATGCAGAAAAAGCTTTCGACAAAATTCAACACCCATTTATGATGAAAACCCTCCAGAAAGTAGGTTCAAACCCACAGCCAACATCGTCCTCAATGGTGAAAAACTGAAACCATTTCCACCAAGATCAGGAACAAGACAAGGTTGCCCACTCTCACCACTATTATTCAACATTGTTTTGGAAGTTTTAGCCACAGCAATCAGAGAAGAAAAAGAAATAAAAGGAATCCAAATCGGAAAAGAAGAAGTAAAGCTGTCACTGTTTGCAGATGACATGATACTATACATAGAGAATCCTAAAGACGCTACCAGAAAACTACTAGAGTTAATCAATGAATTTGGTAGAGTAGCAGGATACAAAATTAATGCACAGAAATCTCTTGCATTCCTATACACTAATGATGAAAAATCTGAAAGTGAAATTAAGAAGACACTCCCATTTACCATTGCAACAAAAAGAATAAAATACCTAGGAATAAGCCTACCTAAGGAGACAAGAGACCTGTATGAAGAAAATTATAATACACTGATGAAAGAAATTAAAGATGATACAAATAGATGGAGAGATATATCATGTTCTTGGATTGGAAGAATCAACATTGTGAAAATGCCTATACTACCCAAGCAATCTACAGATTCAATGCAATCCCTGTCAAACTACCAATGGCGTTTTTCACGGAACTAGAATAAAAAAATTCGCAATTTGTATGGAAATGCAAAAGACCCTGAATAACCAAAGCAATCTTGAGAAAGAAAAATGGAGCTGGAGGAATCAGGCTCCCTGATTTCAGACTATACTACAAAGCTACAGTAATCAAGACAGTATGGTACTGGCACAAAAACAGAAATATAGATCAATGGAACAGGATAGAAAGCGCAGAGATAAACCCAAGCACATATGGTCACCTTATCTTTGATGAAGGAGGCAAGAATATACAATGGAGAAAAGACAGCCTCTTCAATAAGTGGCGCTGGGAAAACTGGACAGCTACATGTAAAAGAATGAAATTAGAACACTCCCTAACATACACAAAAATAAACTCCCTAACATACACAAAAATAAACTCAAAATGGATTAAATACCTAAATGTAAGGCCAGACACTATCAAACTCTTAGAGGAAAACACAGGCAGAACACTCTATGACATAACTCAGAGCAAGATCCTTTTTGACCCACCTCCTAAAGAAATGGAAATAAAAACAAAAATAAACAAATGGGACCTAACGAAACTTAAAAGCTTTTGCACAGCAAAGGAAACCATAAACAAGGCGAAAAGACAACCCTCAGAATGGGAGAAAATTAGTCGCAAATGAAGCAAGTGACAGACGATTAATCTCCAAAATTTATAAGCAGCTCATGCAGCTCAATATCAAAAAACCAAACAGCCCAATCCAAAAATAGGCAGAAGATCTAAACAGACATGTCTCCACAGAAGATATACAGATTGCCTATAAACACATGAAAGAATGCTCAACATCATTAACCATTAGAGAAATGCAAATCAAAACTACAATGAGATATCATCTCACACCAGTCAGAATGGCCATCATCAAAAAATCTACAAACAATAAATGCTGGAGAAGGTGTGGAGAAAAGGGAACCCTCTTGCACTGTTGGTGGGAATGTAAATTGATACAGTCTCTATGGAGAACAGTATGGAGGTTCCTTAAAAAACTAAAAATAAAACTATGGTATGACCCAGCAATCCCACTACTGGGCATATACCCTGAGAAAACCATAATTCAAAAAGAGTCATGTACCACAATGTTCACTGCAGCTCTATTTACAATAGCCAGGACATGGAAGCAACCTAAGTGTCCATAATGGACCTAGAGTCTGTCATACAGAGTGAAGTAAGTCAGAAAGAGAAAAACAAATACCGTATGCTAACACATATATATGGAATCTAAAAAAAAAAGGGGCATGAAGAACCTAGGGGCAAGATGGGAATAAAGAGGCAGACCTACTAGAGAATGGACTTGAGGACATAGGGAGGGGGAAGGGTAAGCTGGGACAAAGTGAGAGAGTGGCATGGACATATATACACGACCAAATGTAAAATAGACAGCTAGTGGGAAGCAGCCGCATAGCACAGGGAGATCAGCTCGGTGCTTTGTGATCACCTAGAGGGGTGGGATAGGGAGGGTGGGAGGGAGGGAGATGCAAGAGGGAAGAGATATGGGGATATATGTATATGTATAGCTGATTCACTTTGGTATAAAGCAGAAACTAACACTCCATTGTAAAGCAATTATACTCCAATAAAGATGTTAAAAAACAAAACAAAACATTATGTTAGATGAAATAAGCCAGACACAAAAGGACAAATAATGTATGATTCCATTCATATGAAATTTCTAGTATAAGAAAATTCATAGAGGCAGAAAGTAGAATAGAGGTTACTAGGGGCTAGGGTTGGGGAGAGTGGGGAATTATTATTAACAGGTACCGAGTTTCTGTTTGGGTGATAAAAGGGTTTTGGAAATAGAAAGTGGTGGTGGTTGCACAATATTGTAAATGTAATGTCAGTGAAATAAGTTTAAAATGGTTAAAATTCTATATTTTACCACAATTAAAAAATAATAATGTAATATCCCCCAAACCACTGAATTGTACACTGGAAATGGGTGAGTTGTATGATGTGTATGAATTATATCTCAATAAAGCTGTTAAGGAAGGCAGCCAGCAGGCAGGAAAGAAGGCGGAAAAGTGATGGCTTCTGGGGAAACAATGGTTACGAGACAGGTAAGAGAGAGATTTTTCACTATATATCTTTTTGTACCTTTCAAATTTTGTACTGTGTTGCATGCTTTACATTTTCAAAAAGTAAATTACATATTTTTAAAATAAAAAATTCGAGGTCCCTTGTTCAAAAATGAAGAATTTCAAGATATCAACGGCAGAGCATGAAATCAAGTGTGAGACTTTCTCTGTGTGGAGCCCTGTGTAACTTCAGAGGTTCATGCCATGAAGCCAGCCCTGTGCTGCAGCCCTGAGAATCCTTGTCTATGTTTTCTTGCTAAAAGCTACACTTCCAGAAAATTCACAAATGTGGGTCAATCCAATATACCAATAGACATTTTCCTTAGCTCCCTTTCCACCCTCCTTGGGGAAACAAAGTGGAGTGGATTGTGACACCCACGGCTGGAGCTGCGGCCGCCTCTGCTGCGTCACCCTCCTCACTGCCACCACGGAGTAGGTCTAAGGAGCAGGGCAGGTGTCCCATGGCCCCTCCCGACGCTGGTGTCCACGGGAGTCACCCTTGGTAACAGAGCCCGTGCTGAGCGCCCACCATGAAGCCTGTGTGTTATCTCGTGCAGACCTCACCTGGGCTCAGTTTGCAGGTGAAGAAACTAAGGTCCAAGGTCACGCAGGATGAGAACCTGCACTCTCTTAACCCCGGGCCAGACCCCCAGGGGAAAGCCTGGTCCAGGCCAGCCGGGCTCGTAACTGAGCCGAGCGGGCAGGGTGACAGGGCATATGCACATTCTGGGATCCTGACTCCAAGGCCCGCTGGAGAGGGCTGGCCACCCACTTGGTGCTGGTGGCCACAGACAAAGTGACCCTTGCAGGCCCTGGATTATCAGATCTTCCCATTTTACATGGGATGCTGGAAATCCACATTTTGGGGTGGGAGTGGGACACTGCACAATGCTTACCAGTGTTGGCTCACACTGAAATGAATGCATCTGAGGGCCGTCCCAGCCCAGGGACCACAGCTAGTGGTTTCCCCCTGCCTGTCGGTCCCCTTCCCTTTCTCCATCTCCAGCCTCCTCACAGCACCAGCGGACCATAGTTGGAGATGCCCCACATTGACTCCAGCTGGGGAGCCAAAGGGGCACAGGTTGAATCCAGGAGGGTGTGAAGGGGGACTCCCACCCACCTCCCCGCCGCAGGATGCTGCCCGGCCTCCCAGGGCCTCCTCACTTGGTGATGGTGAGCAGCGTGGCCTGGGATGTCACATCCCAGATCTTGATGCTCCTGTCCAGTGAGACGGAAGCCACCTTCTGGCTGTCTGGGTCAAAGCAGCACGCTGTGACCGACATCCTGTGATGATCTGAGGCACAAGGAAAGTGACTCGTTACCATGCATTCCATACTCTGGGCCACAGGCTCCAAGGGACGCAGAGGCTCACCCTCCTCCCCTGGACAGCGACAGTATTACAGAGATGCAACTCTGGTTTTCACAAGGGACTCTGCACTCACACAAAGTGCCTGCCGTGAACCAGGCTTTGGAGAAGGAGCACTGCCCCCCGCCCCTGCCGCTGCCCCTGCAGAGCTCCCACGTGGATGCGGAGACACCCTTGAGCAGGCAACGATCTGCAGCATATGCCATGGCTCCCAGCCAGCAGAAGGAAGCCTGGCCCAGCCCCGAGAGGTCGAGGAAGGGACCTAAAAGTTATCGAGGGAAGCAGGAAAGGAAGAGTGTTCTAGGCAGAAGGAATAGCACGTGCCAAGGTCCGGCGTGGGGAGAGAGCATGGAGGGGCGTGGCGTGCAGCTAGAACTCCGAGCGTGAGGAGAGGTAGAGTGTGCGGTGATACATTAAGGAAACATGCAAGCTGTGGGGCAGCGCACCTATCACGGTGCCATGTTGATAAAAATACATTAAATGCATGTGGGAAGTAGTACTGTGTGTGTGCAAACACACACACACACACACACACACACACACGAAGGCCACCCAGCAATGTATTGTTAATAATACGTACCTCCAGGGAGGAGTCCAAACAGGTACGGCAGCCTTGCTCTTTTTACTTTACACACTTACTAATTTTTTTTTACAATGATTATGTATTTTTTAACTTTTTCTTTTGAGATAACTGTTAACTCAAATGCAGTTGTAAGGAATAATACAGAGAGATCCCATCACCCAGTCTCCCCCAGTGATAACATCTTGCATAATCATTATATAGGATTACAACTGGGAAATTGACATACGATGATTTTTTTTTCAGTAGATGCCATTCTGTTCTTTTTCTAATTGTCTGAATTTGTTTCTTTCTACATGACAATGAATAATAATAATATTGCAAATCATCAGCATTGTAAAACACAATAAATACTTTACATGCATTATTAATAATCATTGTGATAATTATTTTTATATTTAAAAATTACAGATCAACATGTTAAGAAGGCTGGGACTCCACTCAATAAAGAACTGGGCTTTAAATGTCCACGTGAGGTTGGAGCAGAGCACTGCTTCATTTATTACAAGCACGAGACTGAACGGAAAATCCTTAAGCAGTCTTAGTTTTAACTGCCTGTGCATTTATCAATCAATGTCCCATCTTTAATGATGTGATTCATAGCATTGCAGGTTCACCAAATAAAGCAATCGAAAGTCACTGTCTGTCAGGTGACAAGTGGCTGTTACCACAGACAGAATAGAGCAGGGAGCCCACGCAAACTCACCTTTGATGTGGGACACGGTGGTGGTGTCTTCCGCGTCTGTTATACAGATTCCATGGTCCACATCCAAGCCTGAGACCACGTATTTACCATCGGGGGAAAACTTACAGGAGACTATGAAGGTTTCATGACTGAGCTTCCACTGAAATAGGGCAACAATCCAAAGGTTTTCTCTCTAACCCAGCATTCCAGCAGGACTTTCTGAAATGTTCTCTCTATGTACTGTTCGGTATGCCAGCCACTGGCCACATGTGGCCATGGAGTACTTGTAATAGGCTGGTGCAAATAAGGAACTGAATTTTTGTTTGTTTAGTTTTCATGAATTAATTTTTAATTAATAAATGTAATTAATGTGTGTCTAGGACAGATGAACAAGGATAGCAAGCACCTAGCAGAACTGCAGCAAGGTTCTAGTAATGGCCAACTTTATTCTTTTTTTTTTTTTTGGCTGCACCAAGTGGCTTGTGGGATCTTAGCTTCCCGACCAGGGATCGGACCCGAGCCCTCGGCAGTGAAAGCTCAGAGTCCTAACCACTGGACCACCAGGGAATGCCCCCTGGCCAACTTTTTTCTTGTTCAGTTTGGTAAGTGTTTATTGAATGTCTGCCCTGTGGACAAGATCCTACAGCCTCAGCCCCTTGGGACGAAGAGCTACTCAACATATTTAGGAAAGGAGGCTCTCTCTGTATGTTCTAAATTATGGTATTGCCATTGTGAAGGTTTTTAAATATGCCCACCAATTCTTTGATAGTCCTCCCTCCACAAGCTGGAGCTTAATTACCTGCCCCAAGAGTGTGGGCTCAACTTAGTGACTCATTTCTTTGAATACAATATGGCAGAAGGGATAGTGTATGACTAGGTCATAAAAGAAACCAGGGCTTTCTCCAAAGAAAAAATACAGATGGCCAAAAAGCACATGAAAAGATGCTCAATGTCGTTAATTATTAGAGAAATGCAAATCAAAACCATAATGAGGTATCACCTCACACTGTTCAGAATAGCCATCATCAGAATAATAAACGGAAAGGGTGTGGAGAAAAGGGAACCCTCTTACACTGTTGGTGGGAATGTAAATTGGTGCAGCCACTGTGGTTCCTTAAAAAACTAAAAATAGAGTTACCATATGATCCAGCCATCCCACTCCTGGGCATATATCTGGAAAAGTTGAAAACTTTAATTCAAAAAGATACATGCACCCCAATGTTCATAGCAGAACTATTTACAATAGCCAAGACATGGAAGCAACCTAAAGTCCATTAACAGATGAATGAGATGTGGTATAAATATACAATGGAATATTACTCAGCCATTAAAAAGAATGAATTATTGCCATTTGCAGCAACACGGTTGGACCTAGAAATTATTGCACTCAGTGAAGTAAGTCAGACAGAGAAAGATAAATATCACATGATACCACTTATACGTGGAATCTAAAAAAAGTATACAAATGGACTTATTTAAAAACAAAATAGGGACTTCCTTGGTGGTCCAGTACTCCCAATGCAGGGGGCCCAGGGGGCTGAGGTTCGATCCCTGGTCAGGGAACTAGATCCTACATGTGGCAACTTTGTTGCCACACGCAGCAACGAAGATCCCACATGCTGCAAATAAGACCCAGTGCAGCCAAATAAATAAATTAGAAATAAGCATTTGGGAAAATGCTCAAAGCCAGGAGTAACTGATGCTCCTATATCTGCTAGTATACAATGACACTATGTTGCCAACAGAATATACTTGCCCGTGTTCACATTTAACATGTGTATAGGAAAAGAGACACCAAGGTGTTAACTGTAATCTCTGGGAGTTGTTTTAAGGTTTCTGTGTTTGTTTTTTTGAACTTGGCTTATCTTGTCTTTCCAAAAATTGTTTACAATGAGTATAAATTGATCTTCACACCAGGAAGGAAGATTTTTTTTTTAAGGAGAGAAAAGAGGAGGAAGGGAGAGGAGAGGTGATGAGAAGCTGCTGGGGGAAGGGCGATGGGGATGGGACAGGAGACCCTGAGGAACCCCTGGAGCAGGGTCAGGGCTGCCTGGCTACCAGGCAGGAGAGAGAGGGGGATCTCGGGCCAGTTTGGATGGATGGATGGTGGTACCCTCTTAGATGGAGGACAGATTGGGAAGGGCCCAGAAGCCTCGTGCTTTGGCCACGTGCGTGGCCTTTGTCCCAAGGCCTCAGCTCTGCCTCTTGCCCCATCAAAAGCAGACATCCCTAGGGGAGGGTCTCTTTTCCCATGCAGTTCCCTCCGCCTGGAATGCCACCTCCCACACCCACCTCCACTTCTTCCCTTCTTCCACATCCTCCCCATCCCTCAAAGAGAGCCCTCTTCTGCCTGCTTCAGAAAGCCTCCCTTCCCTGAAGCTCACCCTCCATCATTTTGGGTCCCTGAGAAAATTTTCCTTTCCTGAAAGATTGGCTACCCTTCACACTCCACGCCCAGCTCAAGGCCACTTAAGGCCCCGTCAAGACCCTGTGCTCTGAATTCTGCTGAGTGCACCACAGGGACCTCAATGGGAAGGAAATCCAAAAAAGAGGGGATATATGCATATGTATAACTGACTCATTTTGCTGTACAGTAGAAACCAGCACAACACTGTAAAGCAACTATACTCCCATAAAAGTTAATTTTACAAAAAGACCCTGTGCTGTGATGTCTCCACTAGGGCAAAGCATACATACCAGCAGCTTGCCTGTTTCAAGGTCCCAAGCCCTCACTGTTTTGTCGTAAGATGCTGCAATAATTCTGGAAATAAAATGACAAACATAGGGTCTTAATGACCCAGATTATTATGCCTGTGGTTTCTATGAAAAAAAAAAAATAGGAAATTTTTACAGAAAATTTCTATAGTTTAGGACCAAGATTGCAAATAATACCTGAATCTTCCTAAAGATGTTCCATGAGCGCCCCCCCCCCCCCCCCCCCGGAGGACAGAGGTTCTCAGTGAAAACAGAGAGCCCCTAACACAGAAGGCACCACAGCACCATTCTCTTCTTTAATCCCTCAGTCACACAAATATGTTCTTTTATATCTGGGGCGTTAAAGGTATCATTTCTTCTGTTCTGTAATTGTCTTCTTCTAGAAGGAGCTACAACTCACAAGGATCAGTCAGTTCTTTCTCTGGTCACTTGTCTATATTTTTACAGGAAAAGGCTTTCGTAGCTCATCTCATTCTGAAATGCTTTTTTGTACATTTAGTAAAATAATATAAGTGTACCCTCGTCTTCTTATATTGCATGTTTCTATGACAATCTCTGTCCTCTATGTAAGATAAATTCCCACGAAACTTAAATTCCCACACTAGTTTTCACCAGCAGACTAATTTTGTAGCTGCTGCTCAGGATAAAAGTGAATCCACTTTAAAGCAAATCCCCTTTTAAAGGCCCGTCTCACATCTGTGTGAGGGGTACATGCAAGTGCATCCCAGAGGCTGCCTCCCAGCCCCTAGGCTGCCTCCCAGCCCCGACGCTCCCCAGGTGACAGCTTGGGCTTCCCTCTGCTTCCTGCGTCTCAGTTTCCCCTGTGAAATGAGGTCCTGGACTGAATCGCTAGTGAGCCTCGCATCTGACCCAGTCCACAGGTGTGACTGCAGGAAATAAACTCCGTGAAGAACATTCAGACTGGCTTCAGCCACAATAAAATTTGCCTTTTTAGCATTTTAAATTTTCAAAGGGTTATCACATCTACTTGATTCTCACAGCAAAAGATGGGAACCATGAGACCGATATATGGGAGTAAGGTTGGGTATTTGCTTAAGAGACAGTGAACTGACCCGGGCGTGCTGTGTGCTGGCCTACTCTTCCCTCTCACTTTCCTGACCAGAGTAAAATGAGGGCAAGTCACCTTCTGCTGTCAGCCGTGACGCTGCATTCTAAAACAGGAGCTCCGGGCCCCGGCTCAAAATTCCGAACAACAGATCCATCCACGGCATCCTCAGATCAGCGGGAGAGAGGGGGAGAGGGCCAGAGGTCACTGAGGTGTCGGCTGAAGCTGTGATTGAGTTCAACATCAGCCCTGGGCTTGTCTGAGAACCTTGAGAACCGAGAACCTTGCCCTATGACTCTCACCCAGCTCAGAGGGGCAAAAGGACTTCCCCTCCACCCCCAAAGCAGGAAGGACACCCTCGCCGGCAACCCCGGGAAAACTCCCCCTCGATCCCAACAGTGGCCGATGGAAACAGGCGGCTCTGAGGGCAGAGCTGCAAACGGGTAATTTTCTCGTTCTCTACCGGCCAAAGAGGCGCCACAAAATCTAGCAAGATCTTTCAAGAACTTTTTACAAGTTCCCACTGTTTGACCCAGCAATTCTATCCTGAGGGGGTCTCCCTGAAGGAGATAATCTGAGTTGTGGCATGCATGAAAAAGGTTTGTCACGTGTTAGAGGGGACAGACGGCAAACACACCGGCAACAGTCTGTGTCCACCTAAAGGGGGCAGTTAAAACAAATTTGAGCACTCCCAACAGTGGGGCCCAAGCAACTCTGATCACACTGAAGGGAGATAACTGCAGAATAGGATGAGAACAGAGCAGGGTAATAACTGACAATAGGATGGGAACAATCGGGGTACCAAAGTGAAGGGTGCGTGCTGGGGCAGAGATAAAATACTTTCAGTAAGAAATGTGTCCACAGCTTTTCAGGATAAGCAGGGGTGGAAAGTCCCCTTGAAACAAATGTTATTAGTAAGACAGTGAATTCATAGAAAGGCCTTGTACTGTTATATGAAATTATGGTGCCTGGTTGGGGGAGCTTTTGGCCTGACCAGGGCAGGCCTGGGACAATTCTTCCTGATATGCAGAGACCACTATGCATGAAGACCCCAAGCCTGCTGGGAGGCAAAGGACCCTGTGTCAGGGGTCCCCAAGACCACCCCTGGGATTGGTGATTCTCCAGGACTCACAGGACTCTGAATATAGACGTGCTCACGGCTAAGATTTATTACAGCCAAAGGACGCAAAGCAAAATCAGCAAAGGGAAGGGTACATGGGGTGAGGTCCAGAGGAAACCAGGCACTGCTTGCAAGAGTCTCTCTCTGTGGGTCACACGGGACATGCTTAATTCCTGCAGCAACCAGTTGTAACAACACGTGTGAGGTGCTGTCTACCAGGGAGACGCACCTGAACCTCGGGGCCCAGGTTTTTATCGGGGTCGGGTGACACACACTCTGCAGCATACACCCGAATTCCAGACTCCCAGAAGGAGAGCCGGTGTACAGCATCAACCGCGTGGTTTGCACAAACCGTCTGTGAGGCCCCTTTATCACTTAGGGAAACATTCATATGACTATAGAACACTGTTTACCAGTCAAGTTCCCAGATGCCAGCCAAGGCCAGCCTTGCCAGTGGGCCTTTCCAAGGACAGCAGTCTCAGGCCTACCGTGCGAACTCTTTTCTGCACAGACCCAGTCCCCCAACCCCTGCTCCGTGAAACTTGAAACGGTGCGGTTGTGTTTGGGTGAACCCAGCAGGCCTTAATCAAAGCCCACCGACAGGAAGAGATCCCAGAGAGGAATTCATGGGAGCAGGACACATTCAGGCTGGAGGCCCAGCTCATGAGCCTCGTGGCTTGGGAAGAAAGGGCTGGTTCTGACAGCCTGTGATCCAGCCTCCCTGGCTGGTGTGTTGCTCTAGGACAAACATTGTCCGGGAACTAAGAAAATGATCGTCGTGGGGCCTGGGGCTGAGGCCCACTGCGGTCCGTGCAGGGCCCCGGGCCAGTTAAGGGCAGAACTAGAATGGACTGTGCAGGTTCAGCGTTCAATAGTGCTGCCATATGGCCAAGAGGAGGAATAGCAACCACGGACAGATAACTCTCTTGGAAAATGTGCACAGTCATGAATGATTTGGCAGGAGATATTCAATAGACGGCAATACAAGCCAGATGTTGTTAGTGAATTCCAAAGACAGTGGAAATGTCTCTGTTTTGTATTGAATGTTTCTTGAAATAAATGGGTCATTGGCTAGGGGTGTGAGAAGACAAATAAAGCAGTTTCCCCTTCACCGGGCATTTGGAACCAGGAATTCTTTCTGTGGACTCAGATAATTTAAGGGGAGATGTTGGTTGGACTTTGAATGAATGGGGAGGAAGGGGTTCTAATAAGTGGTTAGAAACATAAAGGAGATATGACAATATTTGTAGCCCAAGTTTACTGTGATTATATAAACAGTTTTTCTGTATGGTTTCAATTTCATAACTGTGTGTATACATGTGCGAACAGGAAAAAGAAAAGCTACACTCCAACATTTTCATGGTAGTTAACTCAGGGTTCATGGAATAATGTTTTATTTTCTTCTTTGTGTCTTTATGTATTTTGGTGATAAAACCATATTACCTTCATAGTATGAGAAAAACTACCAGTGATTTTTTTTTTACAATGATTGGAAAGAGATGTACCATATCAGAGAGAGACTGGGCACAGGACTAAGAATACTTTTTTTCTCAGCTTCTTCATACATTTATGGTCTTTCTAAATTATTCACAGTGATCTGCAGTTAGGGGAAAGGGACCTTTTTAAAAGATTAAATCAGAAGTTTGGCTTTGGGTGGGTTGAGAGGAAGGACTGGAGATGGAAGATGGTGAGAGTGGAGGAGAGAAGGGAGAGGCAAGGAGACACTTGCCCAAGATACTGTGACAGAGAAGGTGATGCACAGGGTAATGGCTTAGTCATCTCCTGAGGGAGGGCTCGTGCCACGAGCTGCTGCTGGGGCAGGGAGAGCCACAGGAGGAGCCAGGAGCAGAGAAAAAGATGGGGAGAAGAGAGGCAGGAGGGGGAAAGAGGACCATTGGAGGGGCAGCCAAGGCAGGGAGACCAGAGAACTAGTGATTCTGCAACTAGGGGTGGAGGTGTGAAGGAGGGCAGAGGGACGGAGGGGGCAGCTGGAGAAGGTGGTGGCAGGGGGTAGGGCTGTGAGTAAGTCAGGTATTGAGGACGCTTGGGCAGGCTGAAGTGACGGGGTCCTGGCTGGGGCACGGAGTAGGTAGGGAGCCAGGGCAGTGAAGCTGCTGTGGGAGCCAAGGACATCTGGATGGATGGTCCCTAATCTTGGGACAACAAAAGAAAACAGGCAGATGTCCCCTTATAGAGACAGAAGCCCTCTGGCCAAAACAGACAGAAACCCCTGAGAGTCCTTCCACTGACTCAGAAGGTGAGAAGAACATGAGAAGCATCTGAAGATGACAAAGCAAAATGCACACTTGGAAAGTCACCATTCCCCCCTCCCCCTGGGCGACAACCAGCAGAGACCCCCTCACCCCCAGGCCTTCTCAGTCATCCCAGAGGGTTGGGAAAGGGCTTAGGGTTCCCAGAGGAAGCAGTGGTTTTCCCAACAAGATCATGGGGATGGGTGGGGGGATGGGGGGTGGATAAGAGCCACAGAAAAGGAGAGAGTGGATATCTGTCGGGACCTGGTATGGGCCAGGCAGGCCCTGGGGTGGCCCCAGCACACGGCTGATCCTGTGAGGCCTGGGGAGGTTTAGGGAGGCCCGGGAGGTCATGTAACCACCCAGGGTCAAACAGCTGGTAGGTCACTAATGCGGGGCCCGAACCACTTGGATAGCCCCAAACCCTCCTGCCCAGTCTGCCTGGCTTGGTACCCAACAAGACCCAGAAGATGACCCAGAAGATGCTCCTCCAAGGTGATCTGGAGGGTAAGGAGCTATCCTCCACCTAGTTACCCAAACCAGAACCCAGGAACCAGCCTTGACTCACTCCGCCCTGTCCCCCTCCTGCCCCTGAAGCCAGATGAGACAGCAAAACTCGGAACTGACCGTCCTTCCCCGTGGGCCCTGCCCCCGCCACACAGTCCTCTGTGGCCTGGCCCCTGATGGCCACTGCCATCTCCCAGCCCTGCTCCCTCCTCACCCGCTCCCGACTGACCAGCAGTGCCCCCAAGCAGGCCCACTAGAGTCTGCTGGCTATGCCCAGAAGACTTTGGAAGAGTTCTTGGTGGCCACCTCCCTGTAACCTCATCTGACCACCACATCCCTGTTCCTCTGCCCCTGCTTCCTGCACCCTGTGGCACTGACCTGTGCTCAGGCCTACCTCTCCCAATAACCCTTCATGGACAGGTCCCAGGTCTGGCCACTTTTCTGTCCTCTTGGGATCCCCTAGGCCTAGCCATAATACCATCTCTGTGGATGGAACTGAATATTCCAAATGAGAAGGAGGCCCAGAGAGATAACACAGCTCAGAGACCCCAGCTAGGTCTCAGGCACAGCCTCTAACAAAAGGTGGTGAGCTCCTGGTCCAGCGGTCTCCATCCCTGCTCCCACTGTTTCTAAATTAACAGGCTGACAGCAGACACACTAACTTCATCTCTCTCTGGTGACTTGAAACTAGGGTGAGCCCTCACTTTGCTGCTTCTTCTTGCACTTTGCTCAGAAAGGTCTCTCCAAATCTTTGGGATCCTTGAATGTCTGGGAACTCAGTACCGGGGAACTCTCCACAAGAGGAGACATAAGCTTATGGGACGTTTGGGTTCCACCTAACACTGGGCCACCTACCCACAGCTTCACGGTGCAGTCATAGGAGCCACTGAGGACCTTTGTGTCATCCACACAGAAGTGACAGGAACTCACAATGTGCTGGTGTCCCCTCATAATTTTAAATGGGATCTGAAAAAAGGATAGACTGAATGAGTTCAGAAGGTTGCAGAATACCAGATCAATAGTTTAAAAATCAATAGTATTCCTATACACTTGCAACGAACAATCCAGAAAAAAAATTAAGAAGAAAATTGCATTTACAAAAGCATCAAAATAGGAATAAATTTAACCAAAAAAGTGTAATACTTATACTCTGAAAATTACAAAACATTGTTAAAATAAATTTTAAAAGACTTAAATAAATGGAAAAGCGACCCATGTTCATGGATTAGCAGACTTACTATTCTGATGAAAATACCCTCCAAAGTGATCTACAGATTCAACACCATCCCATCAAAATCCCAGCAGACTTCTTTTCTAAAACTGACAAGCTGATCCTGGTATCAGAGAGACAGCAGTGAGCGGTCCTGAAGAGAGATCTTAGTTCCCTGCCCAGGAATTGAACCTGGGCAGCTTGGATGAAAACCAGGAATCCTAGTCGCTAGACCACCAGGGGCTAGAGGCTAGATGCAAACTTCCCCTGGCCCTTGCCCCATCTGAAAAATGAATTTCTCAAAGGGCAAAAACTGTAAAAACAGGTCCAAAATTTATGATTAGAGACACAGCACAACAAGTGGGAGAGCACACAGAGAAACAGTTTGTTTATTTAAGACAGAAGCAAGGCAGAAATACACACCTGGAGAGAAAGAATGTGGGCGTCCCCCCTGATGAGGAGGAGTGCAGTAAAGAGGCGGTTAAATCATTTGTAAAGGGCAGTTCTTCCACATCTTTGTTTACCTTTGGCCAGCTTTCTTAGTTCTTTTCCCACATCTGACTTGTTCTAGGACACTCCCCAACATGCACGCACATGTTTTGTCAAGATGGATTCCAGCGCAGAGGCTTGTGGAGGCTTGGCGCCACCTGTTATGGGGTGGTGGGCCCTCCTTTTTGAACCCCAAGGAGTCTTTCTGCACCTGTGCAGCCAGGGAGTTTTCCTTGACCTCAGGAGTGGTCGTCTTACCTTTTTACTCCAGCAGAGCTCAGCTCCTGCCATTAACCTCATCCTTGGAGTGTCCAGGGAAAACAAAGCTTCGATTGTACTCCACTTGACAAAAACCAGCTGTTCAGCCCAGGGGCCCATCTACCTCCTGCCTCAATCCTAAAATTTATACAGAAACTCAAGGGAAGCAGAATAGCCAAAAAAAGCTCTTGTCAAGGAACAAAGGTAGAGGTCTCACAATTTCCAACTTCAAAACAATTTTCAAAACATACAAAGAGACAGCAATCAAGACAGTGATTACTGTCTTGATTAGCATAAGGATAGAATCTAGCATAAGGATAGACATATAGATGGATGAAATAGAACTAATAATCCAGAAATAAGCACTCATATTTTTGGTCACCTGATTTTCAACAAGTGTGCCAAGATAATTAAAAAGGGAAAGAAAAATCTTTTCGACAAATTGTGCTGGGACGAGTGAATATCCACGTGCAAAAGAATGAAGTTGGACCCTTACCTCGTACCATATGCAAACATTAACTCAAAATGGATCAAAGACCTAAATGTGAGAGTTAAAATTCCAAGCCTCTTAGAAGAAAACACGGGTGTAAACCTTTGTGAACGTGCATTAGTCAGTGGTTTCTTAGATACGACGACAAAAGCACAAGCAGCAGCAGCAGCAGCAACAACAACGATAAACTGGACATTATCAAAATAAAAAACTTTTGTGCTTCAAAAGACACCATCAAGAAAGTGAAAAACAACCCATACGATGGAAGAACATCTTTGAAAATCATATACCAGGTAAGGGACTTGTGTCTAGAATACGTAAAACACACTTAAAACTCAACAATAAAGAAACAATCCAATGTTAAAATAGGCAAATGATTTGAATAGGCATTTCTCCAAAAAAGATATGTGAATAATCTATAAGCACTTGGAAACGTGCTCAACATCTTAAGCCATTAGGGAAATGTAAATCAAAACCATATTGTGTAAAGAGAGTAAATCCTAAAAGTTCTCATCACAAGGAAAAAAAATATTATCTATCTCTTTCATGTTGTATCTATATGAGATGATGGATGTTCACTAAACCTAGTATGGTAATCATTTCATGATGTATGTAAGTCAAAACATGTTGTACACCTTAAGCTTATGCAGTGCCGTATGTCAATTATACCTCGATAAAACTGGGGAAGAAAAGACATTCGATTATAGCACCTAAATATAAAAAACAGAACAAACCAAACAAACAAAGAAACATGTTGAGCTACCACTTCATACCTAGTTGAATGTCTGTAATCAAAAAATCAAACAATAGGGCCTCCCTGGTGGCGCAGTGGTTGAGAGTCCGCCTGCCGATGCAGGGGACACGGGTTCGTGCCCCGGTCCGGGAAGATCCCACATGCCACGGAATGGCTGGGCCCGTGAACCATGGCCGCTGAGCCTGCGCGTCCGGAGCCTGTGCTCCGCAACGGGAGAGGCCACAACAGTGAGAGGCCCACGTACCGCAAAAACAAAACAAAACAAAACAAAACAAAAACAAAAACAAAAAAATCAGACAATAACAAGAGAAATCGGAACTCTCATATAGGGCTGGTGTGAATGTAAAATCGTGCAGCCACTTTGGAAAATAGTTCAGCAATTCCTCAAAATTTAAACATATGTGTTAATTTATGATCCAGCAACTTTACTCCTAGGTTTTTACCTAAGAAAAATGAAACCAAATGTCCACATAAAAACTTGAACATGGGCATTCATAGAAATATTATTCATAATAATCAAAGATTGGAAACACCACACACCTATGGTCAAGTAATCTTCAACAAAGGAGGCAAGAATATACAATGGAGAAAAAACATTCTCTTCAGCAAGTAGCGTGGGGAAGCTGGACAGTTACATGTAAAACAATGAAGTTAGACCACTCCCTCTCACACCATACACAAAAAATAAACTCACAATGGCTTAAAGACTTAAATATAAGACATGACAGCATAAAACTCATAGAAGAGAACATAGGCAAAACATTCTCTGATGTAAATCATAGCAATGTTTTCTTAGGTCAGACTCCCAAGGCAAAAGAAGTAAAAGCAAAAATAACCAAATAGGACCTAATCAAACTTATAAGCTTTTATGCAGCAAAGAAAACCATAAACAAAATGAAAAGACAACCTATGGAGTAGGAGAAAATATTTGCAAATGAAGCTGCAACTGACAAGAGCTTAATTTCCAAAATATACAAACAGCTCACAGGACTCAACAACAAAAACAAAACAAACAGCCCAATCAAGAAAAGGGGCAGGGGCTTCCCTGGTGGCACAGTGGTTGAGAGTCCGCCTGCCGATGCAGGGGACACGGGTTCGTGCCCCGGTCTGGGAAGATCCCACATGCTGCGGAGCGGCTAGGCTCGTGAGCCATGGCCGCTGAGCCTGCGTGTCCGGAGGCTGTGCTCTGCAACGGGAGAGGCCACAACAGTGAGAGGTCTGCATACAGAAAAAAAAAAAAAAAAAAAAATGCTGAAAGAAACGAGAGGAAAAAACACCTTACCTATAGAGGAGCAAAGATAAGCCTGACATCCAGCTTCTCCTCAGAAACCATGCAAGTAAGAAGAGACTGGGGACTTCCCTGGTGGCACAGTGGTTGAGAGTCTGCCTGCAAATGCAGGGGACACGGGTTCGAGCCCTGGTCTGGGAGGATCCCACATGCCGCGGAGCAACTAGGCCCGTGTGCCACAACGGCTGAGCCTGTGCGTCACAACGGCTGAGCCTGTGCGCCACAACCTCTGAGCTCACGTGCCACAACTATTGAAGCCTGCGCACCTAAGGCCTGTGCTCCGCAACAGGAGAAGCCACCGCAATGAGAAGTCTGTGCACCGCAACGAAGAGTAGCCCCTGCTCGCTGCACGCAGCAACGGAGACCCAACACAGCCAAAAATAAATAAATAAATATTTTTAAAAGAATAGACTGAAATATTTTAAGTATTGAGAGAAAAATATCACCAACCTAGAAATTTGTATCCTGCAAAATTATCCTTCAAAAGTAAAGGAGAAATAAAGACTTCCTCAGACAAACAAAAACTGAGGAAACTTGTTACCAGTAGATCCCCCTTGAGAGAAACGTTAAAAGTTCTTTAGAGAGGAGGAAAATGACATAGGTCAGAAACTCAGATCTTCATAAAGAAAGGAAGAGCATCAAAAAAAGAGAAAAGTGAAGGTAAAAGAAATATTTTAATTGTTCTTATTCCTAATTGATCTAACAGATAATAGTTTGTTCAAAATAATAATAGCAACTACATATATATGTATATATGAAATAAATGACAGCAATGAAAGGGTCAAGAGGGAGGAATTAGAAATATTTTGTTACTTTAAGGTACCCACACTACCCATTAAGTGGTATAGGGCTATTGAAAGTAGACTTGAATTAACTATAAATGTAAACTATAAATGCAAGCTCTTGGGCAACCACTTTAAAAAGTAAAAAAGAGGTACATCTGATATGCTAAGAAAGGAGAGAAAATGAAATCACATAAAATACTCAATTAAAACTGCAAAGGGCAGGGACTTCCCTGGAGGTCCAGCAGTTAAGACTCTGTGCTTCCAATGCAGGGGGCATGGGTTCAATCCCTGGTCAGGGAACTAAGATTGTGCAAGCCGCGTGGCACGGCCAAAAAAAAATAAAAAAACAAGGGCAACAAATAAAAAACAGTGACAAATATGGTAGTTATTAATCTAACTATATCAACAATTGCTTTGAATGGTCTAAATGCACCAATTAATAGATAGAGACTGTCAGAGTGGATCAAAAAACAAGACCCAACAATATGTTGTCTACAAGAAACCCACTTTAGATATAAAGACACATATAGATTAAAAGTAAATGGATGAAGAAAAATATACCATACTAACACTATCAAAAATTTCAGACAGAGCAGACTTCACAGCAAGAAAATTTATCAGGGCTAAAGAGGGACATTACATAATGATAAAAAGGTCAATTCTCCAAGAAGATATGGTAATCCTTAATGTGC